AAAAATAAATAAATTAAAATATTAAAAAAGAATCAAATTTATCCATTTATTACTTTGTCTAAACCCCTGTAAAACTCCTTCTTAGACTTATAATAAGTTATAAAATACAAAATAATTATTAGCATGGGACATCTGTCAATGCAGCCACTCATTTTAATTTACATTATTCAATTATGAACTTGAAATGACTGACTTAGTTACTCTTTGTTTTTACACATAGTTGACAAGTGAGTGAGTAAATGAATGATAATAAAAATCCATTGCTGTATAAATACAAAGTAAAATTGAACCTCTTGCTTCAGGAGTAATTTAAAATAGCTAACTAGAGAATGTGGTACATATATAAGTACATCTAGATAGTTAAAATTAGATGCATATTTTAAAAAAGACATTGATTAAAGATAATTCTTTTCTCCAAGATTCTATAATTTCTGAATAGTTACTTGTGTAGTAAGTTGAAAGATCATAATTTTTATGAAAAACTTATAAAAATATAAAATATATTCCATTTTATTTTACATTTTTAAATGGCCTATATTGTTTCATTTGCATAACAAATTGCTTTTCAATGTCTAAGTTAAAAAACCTAATAAATTCCCTATATATGTAAGTTACATCCTGATCTCCTCTCATGATTCTTACTAATCAACAAACTGCCAACCTAAGAGAAACAAAATTTTTTGTTAAATACATCAATATTTGAAGAAAAACCAGAGGCTGGGGGGAAATTACTGAGGAACTTAACCTAAATCTTACTGCAAGTTACCAAAATAATAGCTATTGAACTTGTTATAAATAAATTTTTATTACCAAAGAAATTGTTTAGAAATTAATTACTGATAAACTATTCAGCCATCAGAAACTACAACCCTGGCACTTCCATTAGGTCTTGGAGTTGCTGGGCACTGGTGTGGCACTCACAGCTAAGCCCGAGTGTTGCATTATAATCGAACATAAACAATTTCACAGAACATTAACTTTTGACATGGCCATTTTGTGATCATAACGGATCAAGAAAGAAGATAATTTGGTAATTGTGTCTTTTTTAAATTTTTTTATTTTAGTTTTATTATTTTGTGTGTGTGTACCGTCAAATCGATCTGACTGGTACAGGAGGAGATAGTCCCTCCCTCTCCAGCAGAGCATCTGGTGGATTCTAACCACACACCTCTAGGATTGCAGTGCAGCCTCTCACCACTAGGCCACCAGAGCTTGAGGGTAATTGTGTCTTAACACAGACAAATTAAAATCTTGTTCAAACCAGCTGTACTGTATCTCTTTCTTTCGTAGCTCGTTGAAATAAATGCATAACTAATGGATGGTTCTATGTCAATTTGGCTTTAGTCTCAGCTCATTCTTCCCTCCACATCAGTGAGATATTTGTAATAAAATGACTACTTTTTAACAATATTCAGTTCAGAATACAATATGTCTCTGAAATAAAAATCACCCAACTAAAATCCAAATTCTTTAATATGTTCGGGTAGTGTCTTATTCAGTTATCTGTTGTATATTGTGGCATTCTTCTCTCTGCCTGAATTGAATTAAATCACCCAACTTGTCCAATTACAGTTATGATTCTGGGGGTGAAAAGACAGTGAGACTAAAAAAATTACTTAAAAAATGTAACTCTTAATGCTAATGGTAATAGAGGCTCTGGTATATGGGGTGGCACAATCTCCCTTATTTTTGAAGATTATTGATAATCGCAAGAAAGAGAAGTGAGAAGATTTCATATTAATAATGAATAGGTGTGATTTCCATCGTTATGCAAAATAATATTGAATAAAGACTTTGAGGTTAGAAAAAGCTATGTCAAGTATGGAGAAAAAAAGGATCAGAGAGTTATCGTATGACATAGAAGAAGGGTAGAAAACTTTCCTAAGGAATTCCTAAGGAATTCTTTAAATAGCCCAAGAATATTATTATAAATCTGTTAGAATATATGTGGAAGGAGAATTTTATGATTGCATCACTAACTTCACTACGGGCAAAAAGTTTCAGTCACTATAGTAAATATATTATACTCTTTTTATAGGGAGCTCTGGTGGGCTAGTGGTAAGGAATTGCACTGCCAACTCAAAGGCATGTGGTTCAAATCTATTAGCCACTTTGCAGGAGAAAGATGAGCAATCTTCTGTGTGATTCAGTCTCTGAAAACTTACTGGAGAGTCAGCTATGGGTCAGAACTGGTACATAGCAACAACAATTCAAATATATTCAAAAGCAGACGCTAGAATAGTAGAATTAAAGAACTAATAGCTCTTGTACTAGACAGCTGTCAAGGTATTAGGGGATGGTTTTGAAAAAATTCCTTAGAAGGATTTGGGCAAAGTCTGTGTTTAGTTGGGATTAGAATCCTAGATAATCAGCAAGATGGGAAATACAGGAAAGAACTGTTTAAAAGGAATATATGATTAGTCATTATATGTATGACAACAGTCCTGAGTAAGAGGTACTTTGCAAAGTGGACCTGAGGAGGGAGAGGGCAGGGAAGAAGGGAGAAAACTGTGCAACAATCAAGGAATATTTTTTTTAAGTGAACTGGGGGAAGAGGAAAGGAGTAAACAACATGTGCAAAATGAATGAATGAAAATGAAAATTTTCTGTAAACTTTTGTTAAAATCACAATCAAAATAAAAACTTATTAAAAAAAGAAATACAGGATTATTAATGAATTTGGGGGGAAATGGTGGTTCATGATGATGATGATGACAATGTTACAACAGGCGTTTTCTAAAAGTAAGCAGTGTGAGTGGCAGGTAAAGCACTTCTTGTGACTCTTGAGCACACTAACTTTTGAGAAGTACTGTGCTAAGCCTAATATGACTTACATAGCTTATAACATTGAGCTGGGCGCCTGCGAGATAATACTTCTCACTCTTACAGTTTCCAGTATTCACTGCCAGTCCTTCTTTTCCAAGAGAGGGAAAGATTGAACATTAGATCAGGTGAGGTTGGCTCCCCTTCACCAGCTCTCGTCCTTTCCTAATCTTACCTTGTCCTTGATCTTTTGCCTACATAGTAAGCAACTGCTGCAGGGTCATGCCTGCAAGTTGGCCTGGCTTTCTTAGCAAGCAGATCAGAACTGAGAAAAGATGCAAATTCTCACCTCACCCTTTAGGTTCAAACAGCTGCTTCTAACATGACTTCATTTTCTCTACGAGACTCTTTATTCTTGCCATTTTCTGGTTCTCAAAGTTACTTTCTTTTCAACATTAGTTTGCTTCTTATTTATTTATAACATAGTCTTGCTACCCCATTTTATTCCCTCCAAAAACATGCGCAAGTGAGTCATTAATATTCAGCCCTTGGAGAAGTAGAACAAAGTCAATGCCACAAATATTCTTTGTCTGTAATTTTAATTTGAATCAAATGGGAGAAGCAACAAAACAGAAACCTGGTCTGATGCTGACACTTATCAAAGCAATTTTTACTTCTTACTACAGAGCTAATTTGTTGTGGAATGCTCTCTATCATGCTATAAATTTCAAGAATTATCTGACTTCAGTCAGAGCAAGAACGTTCTAGAGAGCTGTTGCGCAGCCACTGGTACCTGTATTGGGGAAACATAGCCTGCATGCAAGACGATTCCAGCCTCGGTGGCCAAGACTTTTTCATGTCAGAGACCGAAAACTCTTGCAGTTGTTTATGCCATCCCTTCTTCTCCAGACAGAAGATACCAAAAAGTTGTAATCAAAGATCTCTCCATCTTATTGATAAGGCTACTAATAAGCCAAAATGTCTGTCAACGTCGACTGCAGCATGTCAGACCAGTGCTATCACTACAAGATGCCCCGTCTGATTGCCAAGGTTGAGGGCAAAGGAAATGGAATCAAGACAGTTATAGCCAACATGGTTGACGTTGCAAAGGCGCTTAATCGGCCTCCAACGTATCCCACCAAATATTTTGGTTGTGAGCTGGGAGCACAGACCCAGTTTGATGTTAAGAATGACCGCTACATTGTCAATGGATCTCATGAGGCGAACAAGCTGCAAGACATGTTGGACGGATTTATTAAAAAATTTGTTCTCTGTCCTGAGTGCGAGAATCCGGAAACAGATCTGCATGTCAATCCAAAGAAACAAACAATAGGGAATTCTTGTAAAGCCTGTGGCTACAGAGGCATGCTTGACACACATCATAAACTCTGCACTTTCATTCTCAAAAACCCACCTGAGAATAGTGACAGTGGCACAGTCAAGAAAGAAAAGGAAAAGAAAACCAGAAAGTGCAAGGACAAGGAGAACGGCTCTGTGTCCAGCAGTGAGACGCCACCACCTCCACATGACATCAGCCCTCCTCCCCATGCTCTGGAAGAAGAGGAAGATGGTGACTGGGGAGAGGATACAACAGAGGGAGCCAGAGATGCAGAATGGATGAAATCAGTGACCACGCGAAAGTTCTGACCCTTAGTGATGATTTGGAGCGGACCATTGAAGAACGAGTCAACATTTTGTTTGATTTTGTTAAGAAAAAGAAAGAAGAGGGAATTATTGATTCATCTGACAAAGAGATTGTTGCTGAAGCAGAAAGGCTGGATGTGAAAGCTATGGGTCCTCTTGTTTTGACTGAAGTTCTTTTTAATGAGAAGATAAGAGAACAAATCAAGAAATACAGGTGCCATTTTTTACGATTTTGTCACAACAATGAAAAAGCTCAGCGGTACCTTCTCCATGGTTTAGAGTGTGTGGTAGCAATGCACCAGGCGCAGCTCCTCTCCAAGATCCCGCACATCCTGAAGGAGATGTATGACGCAGACCTTCTGGAAGAGGAGGTCATCATCAGCTGGTCGGAGAAGGCCTCCAAGAAGTATGTCTCAAAAGAACTTGCCAAAGAGATCCGTGTGAAAGCAGAACCATTTATAAAATGGTTGAAGGAGGCAGAGGAGGAATCTTTTGGTGGCGAAGAGGAAGATGAAGATGAAAATATTGAGGTGGTATATTTGAAGACTGCCAGTGTACCTAAAGTTGAAACTGTGAAGTCTGACAACAAAGATGATGACATTGATATTGATGCCATTTAAAGTGGTGGATGCAACCTTGCTTCACAGTATAATGCTGCAAAATTTCCTGCATTATCAGCCAGAAGTGCAACATGTATGTGCAAAAGCTGCAATGGCTTAACATCATGCTACACTTATTCTAAAAATGCCCTACTGTGAGTGGTCTGGAAGTAGAGGTCTTGATGCGACATCTGGAGTCCATACATGTTTGTGAGCAGATGTAGTTTGCTTATTTATAGCATGTTTCTTTCTGAAAACATAGCGGTGGACACATTGGATCACATTTATACAGTTACACAAAAATAAAGATTTGTTTTGGTCATTGAGATTTTTGGCTCCAAATGACTTAAGCTGAAAAAAAAAAAAGAATTATCTGACTTCAGTGCTCTTTATCTAACACCAAAATATGACAGACAGACAGGAAGTGAGCACATGCTGTTGGAAAAATGGTGCAAATAGACTTGTTGGATACAGGAGAGACACAAATCTTCAATTAAAAAACACAACCCAAACAACAACCAAACCCAACGCAAAACCAAATGCAAAGCAAAACACAAGCCACATTCACTATCAGTAAAGCATAGATTTAAAAAACAAAACAAACAAACAAACAAACAAACAAACAAAAAACCACAACATATCAACACAATAAAACTAAGTATTTGTTTATAGGAAATACCCCAAACTGTACCCACAACATCAAGTTAGTTCTGACTGATAGTGATCCTGTAGGTATCAAAAAGTCAAAGTCATTGCCTTAGAATAAGCAACAACTTATCGCTGACCCTACCTTGGGTTTTTGGGCTTGAAATTCCAAGGGAGGAGATTGCCTATCCTTTTTCCCTTCTGGTTGTTATACCTGATGTTGCTAAAATGTAGGGAATTATAATTATTTAGGTTATCCTTTGAGTTTTGGGTGTGAAATACCTGAGTTTTAGATCAAGATAAAACACGAGGTGGGAGGTGTGGGGGTTAGAGGGGAGTGGCATGCAACAGTGTCATGACATCATGAAGCTTTGATGTCACATATAATACATAAGAATGAGATATATGCTTTGAATATCTAAAATTGACCTCTCTTGGGAATTTATTATAAATGCAACATAAATCTGCTCAAGATTTAAAAAAAGGAACTTCACAACAAAAATTTAGGTTTTAAACGACAGATTTTGCATGTTGTTGTTGTGTACCATAGAGTCAATAGCGACCCACAGTTGACCCTCCATCTCCATCCTGTCCCCACCCCCACCCTCACAAGCACCCTCACCTCCACCCCTGGTGGGCTTTTGGAAGCAGTTAATTGCACAAGAGGAGATTGCCCATCCTTTTTTAGCAGAGTCACTAATGGCTTTGAACAGCCAGAGAGGTGTAGCCTCAGAGCAGCTGGTGGCCTCACACCAAGTGCCCTTGAGATTGCAGCACAGCTTCTTGCCACAAGGCCATTTTAAAAGTCCATTCAAATTAACAAGACAGATGCACACCCATGTTTATTGCAGCTTTGTTCACAATAGCAAGGAGCTGGAAACAACCAAAGTGCCCATCAACAAACAAATGGCTAGAGAAGCTGTGGTATATTTGCACAATGGAATACTATGCGGCATTAAAAAACAAGGAACTCATGCAATATTAT